TGGCTTCTGCTTGTATTTGAAGCAGCCTCTCTGCTCAGAGGAGCTTTCCTTGAAGTTGGCTTAGCAACTGTGCTGTAGCTTGATTGCTTTTTCTGTTTTTTTTCTTGTAACTGGTAGTCTAATGTCAAGAGCTCTTTCCCCATCAACTTCATTGCTATGGGGAGGAAGAGGAGAGGCATGGCATGTGCAGGAGGAGGGAGAAATGAAGATTTGTGGGATTTTCTCTGATCACTCCCACATTCCCCCCCTTTTGAAATCATATACTTCCAGTTGTGGGATTTTGCTAGGTGTTTTTCCCCCCCGCCCCAGGTTTTTGTAAGCCTAGTTTACTTTGATCTTGTTAATGTCATACAAGTCTCCCCGAGACATTCTGCAGTCATTATCACCTTTTTGGGTGGAGTTTACTTTATTTTTTTGGTTGGTTTGGTTTTTTAATAACTTTTTAACATTGGTGCATATATGCTTGGGATAGAGCTCATGTAATTTTCCAATCGTATTGATTGTATGTGATTGTGCCCTGCAGAGGTATATTTAACAAAAAATAAAATAAAAAAGGATAGTCTAGGTTAATAAAGGAGACCATGAGATTTGTTGAGTCAGGTTATGAACTATTTCTTGCATTTATTTAGGATTTTGGGTAAGTGAAATTTCTTGTCTGGTGTTCTTATAAATCAGTGTTAAACAAAATGTCATTGTTTCACTTTGTGGAACTAGTTCTTTTCTTCCTTTGCCTCCCTTTGTTTTCTTCCTTTTCTGCTTCTTTTCCCTATACTTCAAAAAAAAAAAAATAAAAAAGAGGCTTATAGAGATGGCTGATGCTGCATTGCATCTTTAGTTATTGCTTATAACTAGCACGACATTTCTAATAGGCAGAGAGATCCAAGGCAGCGTGTGGAAAAATGCCCAAGAGAGCCATCTTTGCAAGGTCAGGGGAGCACTGGCCCCAGGGAGACCCTCGGAGGCTTGAAGGTGCTGAGATACCCCTCCTCAAAAGGGTAGGTGCTTCACTGCCTTCTGCAAAAGAGAGCAAAAAGGAGTCATTGAAACTTTCTACTTCGATATATGTGTTCAACTTAAAAGAGAATCCTTGTAGATGTTGTGCTGAAAGGGGAAGGGGAGGACTAAAGGAGGCAAAGGATGGGAGAATCCTGAGATGGGAAAGTCTGTGTCCCTCCTTATTCCCTCTTTAGAGGCAGAAGTGTCGCTGTTGTGTTAACAACAAAGCAAAGGCTTGTGGTATGTGAGGGTGGTTATATAGAGAGGAAAAAAAAAAAGCAAGCCATATGTTGATATGCTATTTCCACTTCACCCTGCTTTTTCTCTCTTGAAGCTGGCTTGGTTTTGCCTTGCTTCCAGATTGTGTCTAAGGGTCCTTTGACTTGCAGGTTACACAAAACAACAAAAAAGTTATCTTAACCAGTGCAAAGGAGGTGATTCACTACCTGGTTTGTAAATAGATGGAAGTGTCTGCAAGGTTTTACCTGCTTTTTCTGTCAGCATTTATATTAAATGATAAATGAATGGAGAACATGTTGAAATCTCTCTCATTTGCTATCTGGGTTGAATGCACATTCTTCTACATCTTGCATGATGAGGGTCTCGGCTGGAGACCAGTGTGCACATGCGGGAGTCATCGAGACGCTGGATACCTCGGCAGAGAAGCCGTGTGAAGGCTGGTCCCTCCTCGCGTGGAATTTAGCCGTCTGGTGGCCAGAAATATGAGACTGGCTAAACAGCTTCCCATAGGGAATAAGCTGCTCCTGCAAGAGCTGCAGCTCGGCTTGGAGCCAGTCCCAAGGCCCATTTTGTTGGGATGCCCATTGAGTCCTTGCATTTCCACCAGCTGTCTGTCCCTGCTAGGAGCCTTCAAGCATTCGGCTGTTAATGCAGAGAAGCACATTTAAAGAGAAGTGGATTTAAACCTGGATGTTGGTGGTGGGTGGGTGGGTTGGTTGGGGTTGTTGTTTTGTTTGTTTTGTTTTGTTTTTACACCCCCCAGCCTGAGGCTTGTAGAGTGTTCAGGTTCTCTTGGTGGGTGGGAACACGGGCCTAAATAGGTTGTAGCTGTGGGTCAGAGGGGCTATAGATACCTAGGTAGCTTCTTACAATTCCTAAGTGCTGCTTTCTTTCCAGCTTCTTCAGAAAAGAGGCAGTTCTGAAGGCCACCCACGCATGATGATAGTGTGATGCCCAAAGCCACCAGCCACAGAGCATTTGAGGGCACTTGAGGATTTTGAGCAGCAGCAGCTACCAGTACAAAGCAAGGCAAAGATCCATCTGTTCCATCAAGTTTGAAAGCAGCATTGGAAAAACAGCTGTCCCTCTGTGGAAACAAGGAGGGCATCTCATAATTTACATTAAGGCACTGGTAATTTTAGATGCTTCCTTCAGTATAGATTGGCCCAGGCAGGAGGGCCATGCCCTAAATCTCCACCTCTATCATTTCTGAGTGCAGTATGTATCGGGCTACAGCTTGAGCAAAAGTTCCCTTCAGCCCTACGCTGAATTTTCAGAATATTTAAAAGAAAGGAAAAGAGGGAAGGGGGAAAAAATCAATTTGCCTGCACTATGGATTCTGGAATTCAACTCTGTGTTAATAGGCATTTTGTTCTAGGCTTTTGTTCTAGGAAAGCGAGTAGACAATTGCAAAATCTATGTACCTTGTCACCCTGGCAAGTGTTCATTCACACTAGGTTCAGATATTCAGGATGTGCAAAATGATAAATGGTTGCTCTTTTGCCTGTATTTAACTCCTAAACGCTGCGGAAGTGGCCGCCTGGGCTTGGATGCCTACCTGCTTCTCTACAGGAAGCCCCACGTCCACCAAAGACGCTGGGACCCGCAGGCCTTGCCTTGGAAAACTATAGTGGCAACTGCTTGGAGCACCCTGCTAGGTAATGGGCACCAAGTGCTCTCTTGCAAGATGCATTTTGCCTCCCACAGAGGCATTCAAAACGCAGACCTGTGGAGTAAACACCAACCTGGGGTGCATTGGAGGCCTGGCCTCACTTTATTTTGCATGTAAATCTAGGGGCAGGCACTCAACGTGTCTTTCTGGAGGTGTTGCTGGGGCTTGTGGGGTGGCTTGTTTGCTGTGTTGCCTGTCAGACTGATGTGCGATGAGGATGGGAAGGGGGTTTCTGCTGGGCAGGGGCAGCTTTTTAGCAGGGCACTTGTGGTTCTGCAGAGGCCCCTGCGAGAGAAAAGCAGGACAACAGAATGTGCCTGCCCCTGCCTTTCTGTTTCATCTCTTGCCACCCCATCTCCATTCACATTTACCTACAGCCCCTGCTGGTGCAGGCACTGGGCCAGAAGAGGCCCAGTGCTGATGGTGTTTTCCAGACCTTTAAAGTCTGGAAACGCATGGAGATGTAAAGTATCTGCAAATCCTGCATTTTTCTTGAACGCTTGAAAGTTTGTTTCCATGGTAGGACTTCTGAATTTTTTAGTGGCAAGAAACAAAAGCATGCATGCGGTGGGGGGCCAAACTTTCCCTTGTCAGATTGAACTTTAAAACCTCTCTGAAACTAAACATTGCTCTGCTCTTTGCTTAACCTGCTGCAGCTGGTCGTCAGCCTTTGCCCTTGTTGCCCCACCGCCCTCCTGCCCTGCCTCACTCTCGCCAGTGTGGGACTGCAGTGCGGAGCTGCTTGGGGCTGCCTTGGTGCTCCCGCGCCTCAAGCAAGGCCGTCGGTCCTCCAACAGCCTGTGATTCCATCCTAAGAGCAGATCGGAGCCACGGGCACAGGTAAGGAAAACTGTTGCCACCGTTAATTCCTGCCTGCGTTCCTTGTCCTGGGCTCATTTCCCTTTGCAGGAACTTTATGGCTGCCTAAGTGCTTTCTTGCCCTGTGTGTGGGACAGAGGAGTCTATCAAGGGGGCTCCCCACTCCAGCTCCTACAGAGGGTGCTTTGGCTGGGGGTGGCTCGTGTACGTGCCTCGCACATACGTGATGCTTCATGGTGTGACGACCACTTTCTAGGCTGGATGTTCTGAGTAATTGTGGCTCTCTGGCCCAGCCGCAGCAGGGCGGAGCGGCCTTGCCAGTCTGGCCTCGGGGTGGAAGGAGAAGGCCTTGCACCGGTGCGCAGGGTGAGGAGGTGTCTCTGCTTCCCTGGAACCGCCTGGCGCCAAGCATGGCAGCTCCCCGCGCTGACAAAGCGTGGGCTGTCGTGGCACCGAAGCGTGGCTGGTGGCCAGAGCTCATGCCTGCTCCTCAGCAGGGGTTGCTGCTCCGCTGCGCACCCAGGAAGCAGATTGTGCTGCCTGCTGTGATCTGGCCTTGCTGTGGCAGCAGATGGGGAACGCAAGCTCCCTTTAGCTCTGCTGGGAACATGACCAACCTGGGCCTCGATGGGAGACTGTCAGAACCAGTCCCAGGCCTTGCTAGGACATCGTTAACAGCAGCTTGCTGTGCTTGGCAAACAGGGGCCATGACTTTGCATCAAGGCACTGTGAAATTTGGATGGGAAGAGCTGGGACACCCCGGCTACAACATACCCTTAGGCAACGCACTCTCAAGGGGGCAGAGAGAGTGTGTGGCTGGCGCAGAAGCGTCTTGCATCTCGCCCTGCGTCGCTCTGGTGGTTCCCACATAAGTATTTTAACCAGCACAAAGCTGGCACGAGCATGGACAAGGGCCAGAGGAGCACAGAGGAGGGGAGAGCGGGGTTTCTTAAAGCTCTGCTGCGAAAGCAGGAGACTTTCCTGAGGAAACAGGGAAGGAAATAAGTTGAGAACACTTCAGTAGCGGCTGACTGGGCCGTGGAGCTGGGGACACCTGGGCCTTCCCTGCAATGGCGTTCAGTAGAAGTTGCACAGAAGCACGAGTACAACGTGCCCGCAGAGCAGGGCTGCGGATGTTTTCAGTAACTGCTGGGCGGGTCCTGTCACAGGCAGGCACAGGACCCAGGGCATTTGGAAAGCGCTGTGGGAGGTGCCAGCGGCAGCAAGATCTGCTTAGTGGCTGAGCACATGCTAATCTCTCTGTTTGCAGGACATGCATTTTTTTGTGGCATGTCTCTTCAGCATCTGGGCCCTGGCCACCCCTCAGCCCTACGTTGTGGAAGACATCTGCACTGCGAAGCCTCGCGATATCCCAGTGAACCCCATCTGCATCTATCGCAACCCTGAAAAAAAGCTGCAGGAAGGTGAAGGGCAAGAAGCAGAGAAAGGCAAGATCCCTGGGTTCACCAACCCCCGTGTCTGGGAGCTGTCAAGGGCCAACTCGCGCTTTGCTGTGATCTTCTACAAGTACCTTGCTGACTCCAAGGACAATGGGGAAAACATCTTCATGTCACCCCTCAGTATCTCCACGGCCTTCGCCATGACCAAGCTTGGTGCCTGTGGTGACACCCTCCAGCAACTCATGGAGGTTGGTGGCAATTCCTCAGCCTATTTTGGTAGCTGTCACCAACATCTGAGAGAACAGAACTGGCAGTAGCTGAGCACTGTTGTGGGACTCCCTGCTCAGGATGAATTATTGGGGTTAGTCAAGGTTCCCCTTATACGTTTATTAGCCAAAAAGGCACTGGCTACCTCTAGTTCGTGTGGCTTCCACAGCCGCTGGTCCTGTGGGATCAGCTTCCTCCAAGGGGAATTTGGCTCCCTGCTGGTCCAACAATTCCTTCTTCCCCTGTGCTTGTATCGTTCAGGAGTCCTGCTTGGTTCTGCCCTTGCAGACAGGAAGCTACAGCCCAGAGAGACCTTCTCTGGGATCTGCTTCAGGTGCTGCCACTGTCATTCTTCTGACAGCTCTTGCCCCCAAAGGAAGTAACCTTGGTGTCAGCCGAGGTCATCCACAGTCTGGGATGACAGCACAGAGCAGTGAACCACATATCCTGCTCAATCCCCTTCAGGCTAATCCTTCCTACTGACAGAGTCACCTAGGGACATAGAAACATGGACTGGCTCCTATGAAGGGGCCGATAACACCCTTTTGCCTTGCAAGAAATCATGCCAGAGATCCCAGATGTTTTTGTGGAGCAATGTGCTTGGGGATTTTCTGTGCCTAAAGCTCAGAGGTTGGATGGATGTAAGATGATAAATCATAACTTTCTGTCTGGCAGCTAGAAAGGGATTAGAAAAAACCTTACTGTATTACCTCAAGTCTAGCCTCAAAACAGTTGCTACATATTCTCGTTCTTTGCCAATAGAGATAACATGTACCCGAGTTAGTCAGCAGGCTGCCTGGTGGGAAGGAACAGCCTGTGGGAGCATTGCAGAAGGGTTTGGCACAAGCTTTGCAGGTCCTCCTGTGACCCGCAGCAACCCCAGAGTTGCTTCCAGCCTCCATAGTGAAATACTCATCTTGTGCAAGGCTCTTAAATGCTGCTCAGCATACAGGGGTGCTGCTCATTATCTCTTCATTTCAGAGTCTGTCAAACCATGTCTCAGGCTGGTGATGTGCTGCTTTTATGTAGGTTTGGTGAAGTGGATAAATGAAGCTCAATGCTGTAGATTTGTTATTCTGTGAGCTGGTGGACAGAGGGCAAAGGGCTTTATGTACACTTGCTCAGGATAGCAGTCTGGTGTGTTGGTAATGAATGTGCAGGTTCAGACCTTAGTGTGGGGCTGCAGAACCATGGGATCCCCACTCATGGAGTCCTCCTCACTGTCTTGGTCCTCCAGGTCTTTCGATTTGACACCATTTCAGAGAAGACATCTGATCAAATCCACTTCTTCTTTGCCAAGCTGAACTGCCGGCTTTACAAGAAAGCCAACAAATCCTCAGAGCTGATATCAGCCAACCGCCTCTTTGGAGAGAAATCTTTGGTCTTTAATGAAACCTACCAGAACATTAGTGAAATAGTTTATGGAGCCAAGCTCTGGCCCTTGAATTTCAAAGTGAGTCTGAACTGCTTTGGGCTTTCTGTCTCTCTCACGTTCTGCTTTTGCTGCTTCACCTTCTTTGGCCTGCAGGGCATGCTTTAGGCCAGGTGAGCAGGGCATGAGCACAGGTGGGAGCCTGGGACACAGCACTTTCTATCCCTGTTTGCCTTAAGTATGGTCACCTTCCAGCTTCTCTTTTCTAAATGCTGCAGTTCTTTGCTGAAGGCTGTGTCCTCCCTGGGAACCCATTCGGTTATTCTGTCCCCTACACAGGGCAGGGGCACACACAGAGGTGTTTGAAAGTCTTGACTCGGGTATTTTGGTCTCTTTCTTCAGGAGAAGCCAGACCTCTCCAGGAAGATAATTAACGAGTGGGTGGCTAACAAGACAGAGAGGCGTATTACAGAAGTGATCCCAGAAGGAGGTATCGATGATCTCACCGTTCTGGTCCTGGTCAACAGCATTTACTTTAAGGTAAGCTAACAAAACCCAGAGGGCAGCCTGTTTCTTTGGAGTGAGTGAAGATGTTATTGTCAGCTTGCTTGTCTCCCCTCTTTTTCTTTAGGGACACTGGAAATCTAAGTTCCCAGTCCCAAACACAAAACTGGATTTATTTCATAAAGCCAACGGTGAGATATGCAAGGTCCCGGTTATGTACCAAGAGTCCAAATTCCTCCACGCCTCCATACCCCAGGACAAAGTGCAGGTGATGGAGCTGCCCTACAAAGGGGACGATATCACCATGGTGCTGGTCCTGCCTGAAGCCGGGACGCCGCTGGTGGAGGTGGAGCGAGAGCTGACATCGGAGAAGCTGCAGGGCTGGATAGGCTCCTTGGCGGAGGTCTCGCTCTCCGTCTTCCTCCCTCGCTTCCGCATCGAGGACAGTTTCAGTGTCAAGGAGAAGCTGAGAAAAATGGGTCTGGAAGATCTCTTCAGCCCAGAAAACGCCAGGCTCCCAGGTCAAACTTAGAGATGGGGTGTTGTGGGGTGAAGGTCGGGCATGGTTATTTCTCCATAGGTGCCTGGACAATACGTGTCACAGCACGCAGGGAGAGCGTGAGAGCAGTGACGTGCTGCTGCAGCGGTAGATGGAGTCAGGGCTCAGTCCCCTTCACAGCCCTGCTGGCTGCACAGCACAGTGGATGTGGGAGTTTAGGGATCTACTGCAGCTGGTGGTGGATATCCGTGTTTTAGGACAGGCTTGCTTTTTGCTTTGATGTCAGTCTATGGAGGATGAAAATGTTTTGCCTCTTGAGCTGTTGTCTCAAAACATATTTAAAATTCTCTCTATCTTGTTATTTTGGCTTTTAGGCATTATTGCAGAAGGACGTACAGACCTGTATGTATCTGATGCGTTCCACAAAGCCTTCCTTGAGGTAAGCTTTGTTTTGTCCCAGGACGTGTTTTCTTCTTAGCTTTTCGTTTTAAAAACTGGAGGTGGTGATAACAGTAAGCAGCAGGTCCAGGTGATACTGTTCACCTTGGGGTAGTACAGGCTGCACACGCACAAGCACAATTTACAGTTGTATCCAGGACAATTAGGGATATCCTCTAAAATCTGGAATAATTTTAGTATTTTAATCTACTCTCGTTGTGTCGTTGGCAGGTGAATGAAGAAGGCAGCGAGGCATCAGCTGCTACTGCTGTCACTGTCTCTGGCCGGTCCTTCCCCATGAACAGAATGATCTTCAATGCCAACAGGCCTTTCCTGCTCTTCATCCGGGAAGCTGCCCTCAACACCATTATTTTCATGGGCCGAATAGCTGATCCTTGTTCCTAAGCCATCGGGCCTCTGCTCCTTCTTTTCTGCCTCTGGAAAGTGGTAGTAGGGTATTACACCACCCAGCTGGTGCCTAAGGTGGTTGGGCTCACTGTTTGTTGCAGGATCTCTCTTGGGAGGTCCCCAGGTGGCCTGTTTCTGCTGCTCCTTGCTGAGGGAAATGAGGTGTTGCAGGAAGCTCCCCTGCCCCAGCCTTTATTCAAAGGAAGCTGAATGCTCTTTGGCACCAATATTTTTGTAGCACCTGAACTTGAGTCCAGCATTGCCATCAGTCTTGTATCCAACCTCTCCTCCCCTTCAGGCCTCAACCTGTAACACCGATCATCTGGTCTATTAAAATCTGTAGATCTGTATGTAATAAACCAATCTCTGGACAGTTTTATCCTCACTAAGCCATTTCCTGGACCTATTATAACTTCCTCTTTTGAATGAAGGGGCTTCTCTGCACTCCCCAGTCCCTGCAGAACAATTAATTGCGCTGTAGAGGCTGGTGGAATAGCAACTGTCAGATGGCACCTGCCAGCTGTGCTGAAAAAAATCTTCATGTATTTCTGCAATGAAGAGCTGGCAGGTGGAAGAGCTGCTAACCCTCCTCGTCCTTCTTGCCAGCAGCACTGATGTGTCTGACATCTGTAAGTGCTGATAAGTCACTACCAAAAGCACTTCTTAGCCAAGGCTGTGCATCTCTGAGTGATGCTCTTCAAACTAGTTTCATAGTCAAGTTAGTGTGTTTGGGGGTATCTCTGGACCATGGCAATGCACAACAAAGATAATGCACAGCTGTAACTGTCCCTGTGGCTCCACAGAGGCACTGTGCTCTCCTATATGTAAATGAACACTATACTTAAATATATTTTATCTATAAGATTATTCCTAGAGCTGAAGCATGCTGGCCTGCTACCCCTCTGTTCCACCCTGGGATAGCTACACTGCTATAGGAAGGACCTCTGACAGAGCTGGCTTCAGGATGCAGAAGTGAATGTGGTGAGCATTCCTCAGGGACTTCTGCATTTAGGACAGCAGGGTTTTGTTTGTTTTTGTTTTTTTTTTGTTTTAAATGAAAGCAGAGTCCTGTCTGGGTGGTGGTAGTGGTGCATGGTACAGATGTGTTGTGTATAGACAGATGCTACAGTGTAAGTTGATGACACCCACCAATGAGTGATCCACTCTCCAGCTTTCCTAGGACCAGTAAATAAGTCCTTCTCAAAAGAATCCACTACCTTTTAGACAGCAATTACCACAGCAAGTCAAGCCACAAGGCAGCCAAGTGCAAAGTGCCAGTCTATGCGAGAAGTAGCATGAAATGATGTTTTATCAGCCATGGTCCCATCGGTGGGTTTGGGGCAGGCAGAGGCAGCAATTACCACAGCAAGTAAAGGCAAGCCAAGTGCAAAGTGCCAGTCTATGGGAGAAGTAGCATGAAATGATGTTTCATCAGCCACGGTCCCATCGGTGGGTTTGGGGCAGGCAGAGGCGGTGCAGTGCTGTCTCTCCTTGCCCTGGTCTGCAGCAGGAAGGGCTGAGCAGCTTGTGGTGTTCCAAGTGCGGCACAGTTGAATCTGGACACGGCACTTCTGTTGTATTGCATGCTCTTGTGATCACTCCTCTAAACACACGAGAGATTTGATGCTGAGTCTCTTAAATGCCAGTCCTGCTGGCATGCTGGCCTGGAGTAACACCTCTGAAGGAAGCTGTGTAGCTACTTACCTATAGAAGAAGAAGCCCTGGGAGAAGGGAGTGGGGTGGGGAGTCATTTCAGAGATGATCAAGGCTTCAAAAAGCAGCTCTTCCTCTCCTCATAGTCTTCTGTTGCTCACCTCTGCTACTGCTGCTTTTCTTGCAGGATCACATATTCTGCTTGCTTGCCGCCTTTTCCAGCTCCAGAATTGTAGCATGTAACAGCTGTGTTCTCATCTCTACTCCCCCATCTATGCTGTAGAGGCTCAGGAGGGTGAGAAAGGGTGAGGAAATGCCAGGATCGCCCAAGGTAGGAGCACCCTGAACCCAAATGCTTCATGCGGCAGCCAAGTCAACCCTGCTGCAGCAGCAGGAAGGGGCTGGGTTGGCTGCACCCCGGACGGGCGTTTTGCCACGCCGAGTGGTGGGATAGGACTCATATAAAAAGAAGGAAAGTCATCTATGACAATAAAAAAAGCAGCTTGAGGCAGCCTTAGTTCTCCCCTGTTTTGAGCTTAGGGTAGTGAAGGGTTGTGCTAAGGAGAGACTAGGCTATCTCGTGGCTGCTGCCCTCCCCTGTGCAGGACACTCGCTCGGCTACGCCAGCGGAGCAGTTCAAAGCTGCTGCACCGCGAGAAAGGACCCCAGAGGTAGACAAGGAGCTGAGTATTAAACCATTTAATTCTCAAACCACTCACATGCATAATGTTCTTTTACACAGTGTTAAAAGAAAGAAGAAAATGCGATTTGTTTTTAATACAAACAATTTCAAGTATACATTTATAGAATTTTCAAAGATTCCTAACCAAGTTGCTAAGTTTTCATTCACATTGTTCTTAAAGCTGTCCAACAAGAGCGCTTTTTGCTAAACTCCTTTAAATGCAATTGTACAATCCCCTCTGCCTTTGCTTTCTTCCCCCTTCCCCAATGCTGCTTCTCTTACCATCGTTCCCTGCTCCCCTCCAGCAACGCTGGCCATCACTGCATGCGGCTAGCCAAAAATGTAGCCTTCCCATGAGCTTGTACCTGCCAGCTCACTGGAAGAGGAAAAGGGAAGAAAGGCTAGAGGTCCAGCTTGGGAACAGCTTGTAAAAATCATTTAAGAACAGTCTGTTATCCACAAGTTACAAACAGCAGGATCACACTTCAACCTACTGCAGGCAAAGTGTGAACACTGACTTTGTTGGAATTTTTTCTTTTTTTTGTTTTTGAGAAAAAAGGATTGCAACCAAAAATAAAACAGAAAAAGAAATTAGTACAGCAGGAAATTTCTTAACTGTGAAAAATAAGTCTTGGGTGTTAGGACATGCATCCTAAAACATTTGATTTGTAAGTCAACAGTAGAAGGTGACAGCACAATTTTTGTTATATAAGTTTACTCTGTAAACCAGTCCAGAACAGAGTCAATATGGGACAGAGAAAACCTTGTTTTTTTTTTTTTATTTATTTTTAGTTTATTTTTAATACTGAATTTACTGGGGTCTGTAGCCACTGTGTGGGAAACCCCACACCCAGCACCACTGGCCCCGAGGCCCCGCTCCTGCAGCCTCACGTCAGCGGGTGGCTGCTGTGGCATTAGCGGGTGCAGCTTTGACCTATTACAGCTGGGGCTTCGATACCCCTTCCAGGCAAGGGCGGCTTGTGCCCCCTTTGACCAGCACGTGCCGCTCCCGCGGGGCTGCTGCCGGCTGTAGTGTGGAGGAGCGGGGCCGCGGCCGGAGGGAGAGCCGCGCTCCTGCTCCCGGCCTCAGCGGGAACGCCGCAAAAATTAACAGGAACCTATTTAAAGTGCTGTTCTAGTTTGGAAAGGGACTCTGTTTACCAAAAAAAAAAAAAAAAACACATGGCACCTTTTCACAAGACAGATCTGGCCCCTGTAAGTGTGCAGAAATTTATATTTATACCTTTATACTTATATAAATGTATAAATACATATGTATTCAGAGTCAGATCTGCTGACGAATGACTGACACACAATTTTTTTGTTGTGTATTGTTATTGCTTTTCACTGCTGCCTGCTCTCTCGAAGGCAGGAGGGAGCCAGAGTCTCCCCTTGCCCTCCTCAACTGCCTGCTGAAACCCCCCGCGGGAAGTTTGGCCTGGGTATCCCAGCTCCAACCATGGCCCGCGGGACAGTTCAAGACGAAGCGGCGCAGGAGCAAACCTGGCGCGCAGCTCCGAGGAAAGAGGGGCAGCGGGTGAGGATCCCCCCTGCTCCCGACGGATAGAGCTGCTTTACAGAGCAGACCTGCATTTCTCAAACACCGAGGTAAGGAAAAACAAACCTGTTTTAAGTGAAAGCTTTGCTGATAGAGTGTGTAGCGTGGCCACCTCAGCACTCCCAGAGAGAGAGGTAGTTACTGTCCCAGGAATCTTCTGCTGCTTCCTGCAACTCGCTTTCTGGAGCGAGTGCTCAAAAAAAGAAAGGAAAAAATCCTGTGCTCTTTATTTAAGAAAGTCATCCCAGTTAAATCTTTTAAAGATGTACTTGACTATTCCCTCTAAGAGGCTTTAATATTTTAGAAATTGATTGTCAGTTTAGTTTCTTGCAAAATCAACTTCAATTAGCAGATCACTTGACAAAGCCACTCGTGTGGTTCACCATGTCCGTGTGGAGTCCTGGCAGGGCTCGGGTGCCACTGCGCTCTCGCAGTGTCCCCACGTGAGCGCCAAGGACGGTGTGCACGCTCTGAGCGATTCTAATGGAAACATTAGGAAAAAAAGAAAAAAAAAAAAAGCGCTATTTGTGTCATTCACAGTGTCATACAGGGAAAGTAGGAGTGAAACCAGGGAAAGGAGGCCTGTTTTCAGCCACTTTGTGGGCACTAGCACAGGAGAAACATGCATTTTTCTTTCTTCTTTTTTTTTTTTAAAGAAAAAAAAAGAAAAAAGAAAAAAAGAAAGCCAG